TTGTTGTACAAATAATGATCCGACAAGAGAACGAAGATTTTATGACAATACATCAAGTTCAATTTCATATTCATGCGGCTGTTTTATCATGCATGACACAGCGTGTTCAAAACAAGTGAAGGATAATGGAAAAGGTAAATATTTGGGGATAATGGATGAGCAATAATTCAAAATGTCTAGAAATACGTCCGTGTGTTACAATACATTCTCACTTGCTTTTTTTTAGAGTGGGATAAAAGCCTTACATGTAAATATTTCATGACTGTGGAGTGTGTGTGATCTCCTGTAACTTTAAGACACATACGTCTCTGTAAAACTATTTTTGGATTGAATCCAGGTCACTGCATTAGTTTGAAGCATTACAGAAAAGTGCATAGACATATTGTAATAAAATAATCAATCGTGTAAGGATGGATGCCGCTCAATAAAGGAATATAAAATCAAATTTAATTTTAGGACTCCTTAAATTCATGAGCATCAATTCCCATCCTTGTCAGAGCACTAAAGGCTTCCATTTAGACTCCATTAAAAATACATTTTCTTCTACACTCCATCTGCCAAGGTTATGCAAATGCCTGTGCTAAAGGAGCAGTAGTAGGCCAGCCATATCAACTCAGTGAGCAGTGCACACAACCTCTTCATCTATTAAAACCTATGGAGGCTGATTGTTGGGCTGACCTAATGTCTCATTTGGATGCACATAATAGTATCTGAATGCAATCTAATTCATACAGGGGGGTCCGTCACTTAAAGCTAGCCTGTAGTCAAAGATGCGGCCACACGGCTGCCAATAAAAGACACCGAGATCGAATTAATGAGCAATTACTGGCGTAATTCAAGTGAACGTGCGTTTAAGAAAGCCTTTTTCTACATGCAAACTTTAAACAGAGGAGACATTGACTGTTTGCTGTACAGTAGCATCAGTGTATAATGCAAAAGTTAGATCCACACAATATAGATCTGTCTTCCACACACACTTTTGTCTTTCCATGTCTGTTTCTTTCTCTTTGTCCCGTGCCTGGTGTTCCATCTCCTTACTCCAGGGCCGTAATGAGTGTCTGCTATTCTGCTCCTCAGCATTGAAGCCCTATTCATGCTCAGTCTCCTTTACAATGCACTAAACGGATTACCCAATTAGCTGCTATTGGATGCCATTGTGTGTGTGTGTGTGTGTGTGTGTGTGTATGTGTGTGTGTGTGTGTGTGTGTGTGTGTGTGTGTGTGTGTGTGTGTGTGTGTGTGTGTGTGTGTGTGAGTGGAAGATAGATGGCTGTCTGTACCCCACACTTCATTCCCAGTTGATGCTTCTGCTGGAAGCCACATTACTCATCCCCACAACTCAGCCACAGTGAGTAAGACATGGGAATGTGTGTGTGTGTGTGTGTGTGTGTGTGTGTGTGTGTGTGTGTGTGTGTGTGTGTGTGTGTGTGTGTGTGTGTGTGTGTGTGTGTGTGTGTGTGTGTGTGTGTGTGTGTGTGTGTGTGTGTGTGTGTGTGTGTGTGTGTGTGTGTGTGTGTGCGTGACAGTCCACATGTGGATGATAGAGAAAGTGAAGGAGTATGACTTCCCAATAACTCAAACTATCAGTCTATTATTCTCTGGAAATGATCTCTCCTGTCACACAGGACCTGTTTCTTCTTGTCCTCGCTTTCATTTGTGAGTTTAATTTCCAGTGTCACGCCTGGGATAATGGAAATGCCTGCTTCATTACATGTGAATCATCTGTTACTCTGTGTGAACCGGATCGATTCCAGCTATCTAACGTGTTGCATCAAACCGGGAGCAGTATGTTCTGTGTGCATTTAGAGGATCGAGCGGCATAATAAGGATTGATTCAGATTGATCTCGCACTCAGAAATAAAGGCAGAAGTTTTAACCATTTACATTGTTCTTATGCTAGATAGCGCTTGTGAATGTTCTAAATCTAAAATTGTATTTTGCACATAGGAAACATTTGTGGTTGCCCTACTACTGCCTTCAATGTTTTATTGTATGATTTTACAAAAATAACCACAATTCCTCTTGAGAGAGTAAAGCTAGAAATTGAGTGTTACTTGTGAAATCACAGTCAGTTAGAGCTTATGTTGGCCCACATGTTGAGTTGTAAATGTCAATGTTGTAGCTGTTCTTCAGTAGTCTACTCTTTTCAAAGGGCTTTGATGTCAGACATGCCTGCCAGCACTTGAACATGCCCGCTGGAAGCCTCTGCAAAACAAACTGCTTTCATCTCCGCTATCTCACAATGATAACCAAACTTTAACAACAATATTAACTGAGATGAATGAACTGCATCGAGTAAGGTTTGAGTCTAAAAGATGCCGAACTGACTTTAGTGAAAGGTATTGGCAGCCAATACAATACAAGAAATGTGTTTAAGAATAAAGACAAGGCTTCATCATTTTGGAAAAGGAATAAGAAGTCAATGTTAGAGAGGGACTCCACAGAATGTATACATCAAGTTTAGTCTATGTATTATCCGAAGTATTTTATATGGCAAATGATGTGGCTAGGGCATTTAAAAAAGTCAGGAAATAAAACCCAGATGTCATCGGAGTTGGGTTTGGAGTTTAAAGACGCGGATATTCCTGAGCATGGAGGGTTAAGAGAAACAATGTTGTTGCGTTTTCTTAGAGAAAATAGTTTTTGAGCTTGATATGAAGAACTTAAAGTCAGGATATTTAGTCTCTTGCTGTTCCGATTTTGACTGTTTTCCGATCTCCATAACCCTAACCCTAAGTCCTCCAAAGTTATGTTAAAATGGCCTTAATTTACCTTAAATTACAACAAAGTTATTGGGTAAAACATGGAGTAAAACTCTTGCACATCTCTTTGAAGCTTTAAAAGTATGTTAGTTATGAAAACAGTTTCAGCAGATTTGGCATTCTTGTAAAGAAACACAGTGTATGAAATTGTGTGTGAGTTTAAGACGCTGCATATGAACAAAGAAACATAATCTGTTTTAGAGTGACCTAAAAAAACAGACACACTGAACTAGATAGATTACACATGCATCTGTTAGAAATTACCATATAGACAGTGAGAATTAAAATGATGCCATCTGGCACCGTGGCATTGTAGAGGTACAGTGAGAACAGAGAAGTTCATGGTCATTGTGAGACAGGTATAAATCCTGGACCCTTACAGCACACTGCTGCCGACCACTGGCTGTGGTAATGGATTGGCTATGCTCTTGGTGTGTGTGTGTGTGTGTGTGTGTGTGTGTGTGTGTGTGTGTGTGTATGTGTGTGTGTGTGTGTGTGTGTGTGTGTGTGTGTGTGTGTGTGTGTGTGTGTGTGTGTGTGTGTGTGCGCGTGCACGTGCGCGCGAGGGGGGGGGGTGTATTGTCAGCTGGTCTTGTGCGCTACAGGGCTTTGTGTCAGGCAGGTCAGCTGGGGATCGAAAGCAAGACAACTCCCCCCCCCCTAACTACACACACACTCTTTTGTGCAGACACAAAACAAAACATGCGGCCCATCAGATATAAGATTAGATATATGCATGCATCCACACACACACACACACACACACACACACACACACACACACACACACACACACACACACACACACACACACACACACACACACACGCACACACACACACACACACACACCTCATGATCCCATCTCACCAAAGGTCTTAAATCAAACTGTCCCCTTAAAAGTCACAAGGTCAGACCATTTGTACTGCTTATTAAAATGTGCAAAGTTCAAGCAATACATATAATATTTGCGTGAAATAGAAGTGAAATTGAACGATTCTCGCTAGTGAGTGAGAGGGAACATAAAAGTGAAATGGCCGGATCATTGTCCAGACAAACAGGCTTTTGGGGGGGGGGGGGGCGGCACAATGGGACTAATCGGAGGAACAATGCTAGGCCACGAAAAGGATGAGTGAGCATTGCTGCTGCTGCTGAAAAAGATTATGGTAGATCCTCTTTGTAGACTTTGTGAAAATACTTTATAAAGGAAAAAGAACTTGCCGACAGCATGATGTAAGATGATGGTGCAGATCTGTCTGTTGAGCGATCTCACAGTATAGGGTCGTGCTGCTTCACATTCATTCAATTTTAACAAACTGATTTCTTTATCGATTGTTCTCGGGATGATATCAATGAATCAGTAGAGTTCCGTCACTGCATGCGGTAATAAAGCTGTCCTTTTTCTTCACATTAAGAGAAAGTATTACTTTACTCTTGACAAAAATGGGGTGTGAGATTTACACCTGTTTTGTAAGCCGCAGAGCTCAGGGGCCATATTTCTTCTGTTGTTGTTGTCTGTTCATTTGGAGCACAGTAGCTTGTATATTTTTCTGTCGCGAAGTGTGATTATATTTCATCCACATTGTGTTTCGTCAACAGTGTGTACTCCGTGGGTTTCTGAACGCTCTACTGCCCTTAGAGAGACTCAGAAGTTTGAAAGTGTGTGTTCTTTGTGTGCAGGTGTGTGTGTGTGAGAGAGTGTGTGGATCAGAACAAACAGCAAAAAGGCAGGATGCTGGCAAATCACTATAAAACTGAAGCTCTCTAGCCTTCTCATTGTGAGGACTAGTCATTTATTTAACGCTCAAATATGGTCCTGGGCTGTTTGGGGAGAATACATCAACCCGGCACACAAGAGTCCACACAAAGAGCGGCACACTTCAACAGACAAAGAGCAAAAAGAGAGAGGGCAAGCGCCTTTTTTTCTCCTTCAAATGAAGTGTTGTTTGTTCAGGGTGGGTGCAGGGCGCCGAGTGGGACGGATGGATGGAGGGGAGGGAGGGGGGGGTGAAGGATGAATGGTTATTACACAGTAAGTCGATGCACAAACGGAGGGTGTATGTGGGCGATAGTGGGGAGAATAGGGGGGTACGCTGGGGGTGTAAAAGATCTATTGTGAAGGCTGAGACTTAATCACTTGAGCGGCACACGCCAGTTCTATGGGAGCACATGTCGTACACTAGTTCCCCTGGGGGGGAGAGGGAGGTCCCAAAACACACCCACACACACAGAGTTGAATTTACATGTCAGTTATAATGCAAAGCTGGGTACAGGCCAACCAGAAAGACACACCCCCTTCAACAAAACAGTTAGCAGACCCTCCTGACTGGGGATAGTGTGAGGTTTGCATTTGCTGCTGGTTCATTCATGGGCACACACACACACACACACACAGAAGTTCACACACTTCCTCCAGGACGGGATATATGACTCTGCAGGGGCCTTTGCTTGAGATGGATGCTTAGATTGACCTGGCAGTAAGTACAATCTATTGTTTCATTACTTCAGTCCCATGTCAGTGGAGGATGCTAATATGTGAGAGTGAGAGTGAAGGCAGTCACAGTCATGTCAGAGTGTGTTTGCATCAGGGCCACAGACTCCTATACAGGTACAAACTCAACATCATATACCATTACTTAACATTTTCAGGAGCGGTTTACTTACTAGCAGGTTTTTTTGAGGGAAACAGAAAAACAAAACAGAAGCCTTGCGGGAAGACTTCCAACTGTCTATTTGATTCTTCCAAGATTAGAAGCCTCTATTCAATTTGGGATTATCTTTCCTCCCCTGATTTCACCTTAAATAGAGTATAACTGTCAGCTTCTTATTTTGCCGTAGAAAACCACTCAAACTCTCCAACTGTGTCTAACTTGCTGTCTGTCTCTGATGCTCCTATTATTCTCCTCATGATGTAACATCTATGTTGTACACGTCTCATCTAGCTTATTATTGTTTCCTTGGCGATGGAAAGTGACAGCCTTGATCAGGTCGCCCGCCTTCATTCTGAATATTTTCCTTCAACTATGCCTATCAAACACTTCAAGGAAATGACAGCTATGAATAGTTAGCAACACAACTGTGCAACCAATAATTATGGATTAGCCTCGAGCCAAATGCAATGTACACTAATATGAGACTTACAGCAGGATATTAGGGCCATGCTTTGTTAGTGTGGCTATTATGAAATGCTTAGAGGCTGAGGACCAGGTGTTTAGGGAAGCCCACAGGCCTGATCAGTCAGTATGGAGCCCCTTTGCTACTAACTCACTGATGTTCCCCTGTGGGTTGGAGATCATGGCTCGCAGCATCTGGGGTCCCGTTGTATTTTAAGGGGAGTTGGAGAAAGCCAATAGAGAGCATCCCTTTTACCTCTCTGAATGAATATCATTGTATTATAAATAAGAATAGTAAAACAACACATATTTCACAAAAAGATGAATACTATCTCTTTGAACTCATTCTTTATTTGGTAGCGGACTTTATGAACATGATTCAACATTATCTGTGGTAACACATACACTATTATCTTATGTTTCATTTGTTATGCTATGCTTATCCTATCATAGTAACAGTGTCAGTTACTATGGTGATGTATAGTGTGGAAAGTAATGTTTTCCCAATGGTTGCTTTATAGGATGTGTTAAAGGGGCCCTATTATTATTATTATTATTATTATTATTATTATTATTATTATTATTATTATTATTATTATTATTATTATTATTATTATTATTATCATTTTCAGGTTCATATTAGTATTTAGTGCCTCAACTGGGACATGTTCTCATGCTTTAATGTTTCTCATACTGTCTGTGCTGCAGCACCTCTTTTCACCCTCTGTCTGAAACCAGAGCCCAGGCTGCTCTGATTGGTTAGCTGGCCAGCTCTGTTGTGATTGGTCAACTGCTTAGAGATGTCCCGCAGAAATATCACGTACAATGTGTTGGAGCGCTAGCCAATAGAAGCACGATTGTTTCATAGTGATGTCACTTTGTTACGGATGTAAATCGCAGTGTGTGGGACAGAGAAACTCCCTCTGGAGGGAACTTTGATTTGAGTCTTTGCAGACCATTTACATGCACACAAATCTATATAACAAACTACAGGAAAGGGAAAACCCCCCAAAAGCTTTATAGGGCCCCTTTAATAAATAACACACACATTGTGTGGTCAACGAAGTTGTTTGTCTCTTTTTTCTCACAACTTCTAAAATGTCATAGTTTCAGCCACTCTCAATATATTAAAATGTAATTAATAACAAATTGGCAATTATTTCGATTAGTTAGTTCGATCCCCATGCTCTGCATTCAAGTATCCAAGATATACAACCTGCTCTTATATGTATCTACTCAAGTACAACAGTACATATGAAATGTTTGTATAGTGTTATTCAAGTGGCAGCACTGTTGAGTAAACTATAAGTAGCCTATTTGCGAGTTTGTTTAGAGGAAGGGCACCCCAAGGGCTATTTGTCAAATTCAACTGCCGAGCCATAAATGTAGTCACACAGTGCAAAGAGGGACTCTTTCTGTTACTTTGTTTGTTTAGCAAATGTTAACACACCTGCTTCAACAATGCATGTCTGGACTGATTCAGGAAACAACAGAATTGAACAACAGTAATAAAGCATCAGAGGAAACTGTGGTTTGTCCTTTCATGGAAAAATGTAATGTTTAAGGATCAACAGCAAATATTCTCCATGTTTGACGTGTATTATATATTTCCTGTCTTGCAGATGGAGCCATTGAGAGTGCTGTTCTGGGGTCATGAGTTGTGTCTTCTCTTCTCTTCTGTGTAACTTGCTCACCTGGACCTCAGCACCCCCCTCCTCACCTATGCCTGCAGGACCATGGGCAGTGTCAGCAGCCTCGTGAGCGGAAACGACCTCAACAGCAGACACTGCAAGGAGTCTGAACATCAGTTAAAAAAGGGAGCACATCCTCAAAGAAGGAGCGGAGGTTGCAGCCTAGACGACTTACTGAAGTGTGGCTTCACTCAGGGCCCCACCCACCCCTCCAGAGGCCTGTCCCACTCGCGCTCAGGACGAAGTGAAGACTTTTTTTACATCAAGGTATGTGTCATTGCATTTCAAACTATGACTTTAATACTGCACATTGCAGTTACAAAGCCTAACGTATTTATCCTGTTCCCTTAAAGGTGAGCCATAAACCCAGGTCAGCGTATTACAGAGGACCAATGGAAGATCATTCAGGTGGGAAGAAGACAGATGGGGAATCAGATGGGGGAGAGCAACCAAAACTGCTGCTCAAGTCAGGAAATATTACTGTAAAGGTGAGAAAAGTGCACATTTTATCTTCTCTAAAGCTTACCTAAATGATATCACTACATTTTAAAGGAATGGTTGAACATTATTACATTACATGTCATTTGTTAGACGCTTTTATCCAAAGCGACTTACATATATTCAGTACTGAGAACAATCCTCACAGGAGCAATTTGGGGTGAAGTGTCTTGCCCAGGGACACAACGACATGCTGACTGCAGTGGGACTTGAACTTGCTACCCCCTGATTCGAAGTCCAGCACACTATCCACTGAGCCACAGCCTCCCCATTATGAGGGATGTCTTGCTTTCTTGCCATGAGAAGATTAATTGCAAGCTAATATTTTCACAGTAAATGTGTGGGGTGGACCAACACATTGGTTAGGTTAGTTTAGCTTAGCATTAAGACTGCTAACGTGAGGAAAAGCTAGCTGGGCTACATGCTCCATCGAGTAGAAAAACTATCCAAAATATCAGATATGAAATGAGATTTCACTTTGTCCATTTAATAGCCTGATCAAATTTGGTCCGCTGTCCTTCAGTTAACTGGAATCATTACTATGGTTATACTTACGAACATTAAGAAGTCATACTGCATAACTGCGACTTTATAAACCTCACAGCGTAGTTGAGTATAAAACATGCACAGCAGGTAGTTGAAATGGTAGCAGCCATTCCTCATAACCTGTGTTGAACCGTCTCAGTTTATTAATCACCCCCTCCCAGATTAATGACCTAAGAATGCCTTGATCTTCTCATTGAAGTCATTTCTGTGCCAAGAATAAATAGGCAAACGGAGTCTATTTCAATAGGTCTTTATTCCTCTGGGGCAAGAAGGGGAGAAAGGAGAGGAATAGGAAGCAGCTTTAAAAGAGACGGAGCGGAGGATATGAAAGAAAAGAGAAAGACGAATCGAGGGCCAAAGAGAGTTTGAGGGATAGAAAGAGAGGAAAAAATGAGGGTAGGCATCCCAGTCATGAAGTCAGTGAGAAGGAATGCTGAGCTCACAAGCTTTACCTCTTACACTTCAGCAGTAGCTCATATTATTAATATCACAGAGAAGGGCTATTCATCTTCGCTCAGACAGCACATGGGGGAGAGATGTGGGATGCAAAGGGGGAGGAGAGGAGGTCTGAGAGGAGGGGAGGAATGCTACTGCTGGTGACGTTCTTGGACAGCACAGATGGGAGCATGTGGAGTATAAGTTCATCTTTGAAATGAGTTTTCTCTTTTATGACAGTCTGGTGAATTTGACTTGCAACTACTGCTGCGTAGCTTTTAATACTGCCAGCATGTAGCGAAGGAATTCTGCACGCTTGAGTAATTCTATTTTCAGCATGAAAACGACATGATTGGGAAAAATATCTATCCCTTTTACTTCTACCGAGCAATATTTATCTCTGTGGAAGCCAGTCATTACGATTTTCAAGTTTCAGAATGGACCCATCCGTGGTTTGTTGTACTCTCCGTAACAACTAAGCAGAGATGCTGAATATTGACATAAAAATTGGGAAGAGCACCTCTGACTGTATGTCATTTCACTCTTCCAGACCTCTGCTGACAAGTCATTGGTCCGTTCCACTGCCTTCAAGCCTGTGATTCCCAGGAGTGCATCCTCCACGGAGACAGGCCACAACAGCCTGGACCACATCCTCTGTCCTCTGGAGAGAGCCCGGAGTTCAGACATCAGACACAAGCACGACACCTTCTCAGGTCAATATCTACATTATATTGAAATGCAGCAGTAGAACAACTAAGTCGATTTACTCAAGTGTTGTATTTAAGTAGAATGTTGAGGTACTTTACCTCAGTATTTTCATTTGATGCTAATCTAAACTTCTTATCCACTACCTTTTGGAAGCCAATATTGTACTTTTTACTCCACTACATGTATCTGATAGCTTTAGTGTCACGGTTTTGGGTTGTTTTCATTTTCCACCTTTTTATTATGAAATGTTTTCCTCCTGTGTTTGCCTTCCTGTCGTTAGTTTCCCTGGTGTGTCTGATTGTCTGATTGTGTTCACCTGTTGCCCTTGTGTTTCTGCCTCCCTTACCCCAGCTGTGTCTTGTCTTATGATTACCCCTCTCTGTATTTAGTCTTGTCTTCCCCTGTGTGCCTTCAGTGTCTCTCCTGTCTCCCTCCATGTTGGTCACGGTCAGTTTTTGTGCTACAGTACCCATGTGTTTCATGCCATGTTTTTGTTCAGCTTTTAAAATAAAGCTCGCTTTTTGTTTCTAGACCTTTTTACCTTTTTTGTAGTCTGCATTTGGGTCCTACCCTTTCCACGCAACCTAACATTTAGCTACTTAACTGATTAAAATAATACTTTTGATGTGACATACACATTAATGCATCAATAAACACAATCCAGTAATTTAACATATGATTATGAAATGGCATTATGCAACCGGGTACTTTTTGTACATTAAAGTGGACCTATCATGCTATATTTGAATAATATAATGTAGGACCATACCTATATAAGGCATATTTATTTTTTCAAAATACCAAACAGATCATGCATTTTAGCCATGCCTCATTTCGCTCAATTTGAAAAATGTTAGCTCTGTTTTTGCAAGGGTTGATTCTGTGAGCAACAGCACCACCTAGAGGCCTGGCATATGTACTACAGCGTCTCCAGCGCTTTTGAACGGCAATGGCCGTGGCGGTCTCCTCCTGATTGGTGGAGTTGGCCCAATAGCCGTAGCGCCACCGTCCTGACGTCAGGACAGTGTTCAAATCTGGATCAGTTTTTATCAGATCCGTTGCAGCCCCTTTTTTAGAGATTTGGGTATGGAGGAAAATAGAGGGTTGTGTTTTCTGACACTTGGTGAGTTCCCTGGAACACCGGGGACACATATTCATGTATAAAAGATGTACAAAAGTGCATTTTGCATGATAGGTCCCCTTTAAGTATATTTTGATGCATATACTTTTGTACTTTACTTGTGTAATGCAGTACTTTTACTTAGAATATTTTTACAATTAAGTATTACTTTGACTTAAGTATAAAATACAATGACTTGTATATAGACTCTTATTGCACTATTTCTATTCTATTTTATTTGTATTTACTTGCACTATTGTATCTGTTTTATTGTGTTGCACTGTTGACCTAAGATTTTCATCGACATAACTACACTGTAGCTATGTACGAATGAAAATAAAAGCCTTGAAAAATCTTGAATCTTGAAAATCTTGAGTACTTCCTCCACCTCAGTTGAAATGCTATTTGAAATTGTAACTATACAATGAGACAACAAAAGTTAGAACAATAGCTTGTGCTACAAAATTCAACAACAAATTTGAGTTGAATGACAAATTTCCCCTAACGTAAATGTCATTAATTTTCCTTCCAGGGACTCTTTCTGACTCTGGACGTAACTCCATGTCCAGCCTGCCCACTCACAGCACCAGCGGCAGTCTGATTGCTTCCACGGGCCCCGTCAGTCACAGTGAAGGCGGCTCAGCTCCCGCACACCGCCTCAGCAAGGGAGCGCTGCCCAACTTCCCTCCATGGGTCAACGGGAATAGCACTAACCTTGACTGTAGCTCCAGGCCTGGTTTAAATAGCACAGAGTTGGACACTGGCTCCCCACATCCCGCAGATGAGCCAGGAGCGCTCTCTGAAACTGCGGGTGGGATCCGGTCCCCCATTACTACAGATGAGTCTCTGATTGAGCGTTTGGAACAGAGGCTGCTGGAGAGAGAGACTGAACTGCAGGAGCTACAGGTACCACGCTGTCGCATCAGCAACTAAACAGCTTGTTCATCAATCAGTATGTGTTTACCATTAATTAGGGGTGTTAAGTAACTTTACCAAAGTACTGTCCTTACAGGTACTTGTACTTTACCGGAGAATTTCCATCTACTCCAATTCAGAGTATGAAGTACCTTTAGTTACTTTGCGGATGATTCATGATAAACAATAATCAACACTTAAATTAGACTTTAGTTACACCTGGATTAAATTCACAAGCTACCCAGCAGGTATTCAAGAAATTAGAATGAGTTCCACCTTTACAAGCTTTGATAAACACATCAATACATAAATTGTTATAATCGAAACACATATTATGATTAAGAAATGGGCCAATATTCATAATGTGTACTTTTATTTTGATGCCAATACTTTTGTTCTTTTACTTGAGTGACATTTTGAATGCAGGACTTGTACTTGTCACAGAGTATTCCTAATGACTGCAGAACTGTGATTATTACTAACATGTCTTTCCCTTACAACAGGTGAGTTTTGAAGACAAGGAGGTGGGAACCTGCCAGCTGTTTGAGGAAAGACAGATGTACTGCTCTGAGGAGATGGAGGGGCTGAAGCAGCGATGCTCCACAAAGCTTCGCCAAGTGTCCCACATGGCTGCGAAAACCCAGCAAGCCCTCCAGCTGCAGGTCAGCCAGCTCCAGGTCAGACCACCTCCTATTTTCTTTTTTTTAATCTCTGGTTCATCTTAAATGTGACACAGTATTTTACCTTCTCATTTGAGAAAATACTTTCCACGCACAAACAAGTGAAAAGAGAAATGTGTTCTTGTGCAGGCTGAGAAGGAGAGGCTTCAGCAGGATGTTACAAAGCTCACACAAGAGAGGGATCGTGTGGAGCTCAGACTGAGGTGTTATGCGACAGAGAGTACGCAGCTCGCTCCAACACTTGAGGAGACTCAATGGGAGGTGAGTCATGAGTCATATGTGTGAGATCAGTTGGGTTTGAAAGCTTGCAGCACACCAAACAATGTGAAACCTTGAATGCTGCTGGCGAGATGAGGGACATTATGTTCCTGCATCACAAGAGGAGAAATCCACCATTATGCATCATGTTTATTAGAAGAAAATGCACCAAATGTTCTCTTTTATATGTTTCTGAGTATTTCACAATGTTGCCTTTCAACATCAGAGAATGATCAACACTTCTGAAGTCCTCCTCAAATTTAGAGAGCTTTTTATGATTTTTCAGCTAGTTCTGCAGGGGAGGGGTTTAAAGCCACTGAGTTTACTATTTTGATTCAGTATCACAGCTCTCACCAGAACAATTTCAGTTTCATCCAACTGTAGCCGACGCCATCTGCCCAACAACAAATGGAAGACATTTAACAGAGTTAAAAACGATGGTGAACATACATTATTGAACATTTGGCAGTTAAAAGAGACAAAACAGAGCCAACATGACAGTGAAACTGCCGTGTGGCCAGAGACTCTCATAATTTGCTGTGTGCTATGATTAAGGGAAATGCACATGAACATTATTAACAGTATAAGAGTATTCAATTGTTGATCTGTCCTTTAACTGCCGGAGTGGCGTACATACCACACATTACAACTATGACTGGTTGATCTTCATTATCATATCTGTCCAAATGCAGGTGTGCCAGAAGTCAGGAGAGATCTCCCTGTTGAAGCGGCAGCTCAGAGACTGCCAGACAGACGTCCAACACAAGCTGAACGACATCGTCAGCCTCAAGGCTTCGCTGAAGGAAAACACGGCAAAGATGGATATGCTCGAGAGACAGAACAAAGACCATGAGGAGAAACTTCACTGTCGCACCAGAGAGGTGGAGGTGAGTCTGATCTTTATTCAGTGGTAATTCATTCTACCATTATAATATGAAAACACTTGGAGGGATACTTCACATTATTTGCTACACTCAACTGTGACCTCCAGACTATTGCTATGTCTGTGTTAAAGCAGACTTAGCATACATGTAACTAAAATAACCCTCTTAAATGCTGCCCATGTGTTAAAAATAATTTGTATTCAGGTGTGCGAAAATGAACTCCAGCGCAAGAAGAATGAGGCCGATTTGCTGAGAGAGAAAGCTGGAAAACTGGAGCAAGACATTCAGGGAATGAAACAGGATCTGGCCAGGGCCAAAGAGCAAAGGCAGAACAGTTTGCCACCAGAGGCCCAGACTCAGGACTCGGAGAGACTGAACCAAGGCTCAGACTCCCCCACCAAGGGCCAGGGCGAGGAGAACAACAGACAAACATCCACCCTCCAGAGGGAAGTGGAGAGAATGAAGCAGCAGCTCATGGAGGAGAAGGACACTCAGGAGAAACTGTCCGGTAGCTTTGAGCAGGAGAGGCTCACTTGGAACAAGGAGAAAGACCGAGTCATCAAGTACCAGAAGCAGCTGCAGATCAACTACCTGCAGGTGCACAAGAAGAACCAGGACCTGGAGCGGATCCTGAAGGAGCTGACGGCCGAGCTGGAGAGCCGGACGGAGCTCGGCATGGACATCAACTACAGCTCAGGGTTACAGACTTACGACGACGTTATTGCCACGGAGATTTGATGGGAACACTCACATGTTGAGTGAAAGTGAACAAAGCACTATTTCTTTCACCACAGATATTTATGATAACAGCTGGACTTCCTTCACTGCCTACTAGTGTTTTACACGGGTTATTTAATAGAATGAGCATAGTGTATTTTGTGTCCAGGAGACAGAAGAAAATATCTGTTTGTGATGACACTGTCAGTACTTGTTTACTATGAAAAGGATGTGTGCCAAGATGATCAAGCAAAACTTCTTAAGTATGACACAAAAATAAGAATATAAGAAAATTAAATAAGTGAAGTAAAAAGGGTATAACTTGCAAACAAATTAATTCGTTTATCCTGTAAAATATTGTTTTTCCCTTTTTTTTATAATATATGTTTTTGTTTACAGTTCCCTTACACTACTTGTTAAGTTATTACATTTCACTTTTGAGATGACTGTTCTTGCTTCACTGAATTTGGTTTTCTCTTGAATTCTTAGTTTTGCTTGATACTTCAGAAGCGTTGCTTGATTTTATTGGCACAAACATAATTCCTTAGTTTAGGGTAAGTTTTTACCATGATGTCTAACAAGAGAACTCATCATTTGGATAACTTATCATGTAGAATTTGGTCAATGACACGTGGATGACGAGCTGATGTATCTGTTACATGATTAACGCCTAATGGTAACACATGATAAGCATGACAGTGACGTATCATCTGTGAGTCTTAACAAACATTTCGTTGTTTATACACATGACTGTATGCATGGAACATAGATATAAGCCATTTTATGAGCCATCAAAACAAAACACATGTCTTTATGATACAAATATTTGTTATACCCACACAAATGTAAAAGGAAATGTGTTTTACACTTCACACAACATTCTAAAATCATATAAACTGTCATGCATTGTCACCCCTTACATTCAATTCAAAAGTGAGGATCTTATTCAAAGTGCACTATAGTGAAGTAGATATATTTTAATAAATCATATGAATGTCATCCTCTTAATCTTGTCACACTTAGAACATGTCAGTAAATGCATCTTGCAAGGCAGTATCATTACATGTGTCAATTCAAATGAAACATAAGTGACTCATCGAAAAACCATCACTCAACTCAGCAGATATATTATTTTATGTAATAAACTATTTCTTTGTAGCAAACCTTAGGCCTGAAGATGTTCCTGATGTAGAAAATGCACAAATAGAGTATATGCTAGAAAACACCTCTGGCAGATACCAAGGGCAAATGCAAATTTGAGGGATTCACTTTGTGTTTTGAGAGAAAGAGGGATTACACGGGGCTGGACACAATGCAATAAAAGCAAATATTTACAGAGAAACAGAGGGAGATCTCGCGGTTATATCTACCTCCCTCCCCGCGTTGTTCATCTAACTTTCGTGCGCTGGCACCGCTCCACTTGGAGAAAAACAAACCTTCCTCGCAGCAGCGCCGCACGTTTGGCTCTGCTGTTTTGGAGCCTTTCCACTTCCCACAAGGGCAAAGTAGTTTGTGAAGCAAAAGTTTTACTGCTCCACCCACTCCACACTCAGGGACTCACGTACACTACCATGCAGGAATATATGCATACATTGAGCCGGCCAAGAGTGTGTGGAAAGTTCTGTAACGAGGCTTCTTGAGATTACTCAGCTTCCCACCAGTAAATGACATGACCACCGCGGGTCCAAATCCAAAGTGTTTACACTCCTAACGTTGGTCCTTAGAACATAGAATTGGTGAAATAGGGACGTAGAAAAGACAAAAAAGTTGATAGTGCACAAATGCCACTTGTAAAACTTTCTTCGAATTCAATATACAAAAATCATTCAATCATACCCCATGCGTGAAAATAAATAAAAGCTTCAGTGAAAAAAAAGGTATGCTGGGATGAAATTGGAAATAAGTACCAACAAACACTCTAGGGTGATTTTAAAAAGCAGCTAATGTTTGGCATTTGTGTTCAAACACTTTTGCTAAATTATTTATTCTGTATTCTGAAATGCTGTATATATAATTTAAGAAAAATGAATAGTTTAGCCCTTTTTGAAATAGAAGATTTATTCACACATCAACAGAATATTGTTGGACAAACCTGCATAATACATACTAAAACTGTACTTTAATGCACTTGAAAGATATGTAAATACTTTTGATTGAGTACACCACACCAAAATGGACAATACTGCAGCGATACATGTGTAGCTTGTTAATATGTGTCGGACTCATTCACAAGCTAATGCTGGATTTAATAACAAACATGAATGATATTGGTATATAATCAAAGCTTTTTTTCTCCGACTGCGCTTTTGTCAATCCCTCATTATCATTCTCCATTCCTCTTGGACTTTAATGTGAAGATTGTTTTCCTCTCCCGCCTAATCATCTAATTTGCCTTTTATAGTGTTTTTTCCCTCACACAGAAGCTCTTCTGCAGCTCATCTGCTGTCATTACTGAGCTGATTGGACCAAATCAAAACTGAAATCAAATTAAGGCCCATTGTCAGTGTGCGTTGCTCCGTCACTGACATGAAAGGAGGACCACCAACAAGAGATAAGAAGGAATTCAAAGTCGCTGCTTTGACATGAAAGAAAGAAACGGAGCTGACTGGATGAAGGGACGTGAAATAAATACGCATAGAAAGACATTTACACCGCAGCAATGTTCTCGTGTGAGTCATGCAAGAAATACGAGGCACTTTCTCGTGTTAAAATAATGTTTTCAAGGCACATTATTAAGTATTCAATTCTGTTTTACAATGTGTATCTTCTTCCTAAAATCTACAATTTGTTATCATGCCACGAGCGATCAGAGTGGTTTTTCGATGTTTTCATTGTCTGGTATTGTATCATTATTTAAGCCCTGAAAATTACTTCCTTGAGACTTCAAGTATATCTATTATTTTTCTTCTATGTCTATACATTCTGAAACTTATTTTCTATTAGGTTTGAGTTACTGTGCAACAACATATGAGATCTTTGAGCATTAGCGTTGAAATTGGATAACTCACAGGAGGACTCTTTTCTTAATAGGCAATACTGATGTTGTGTTCTCGTACCTTGTTTGTATAAATGTTCTATATTAACAACATACAGAGTGTTGGTCCAGCAGATGTCTCGGGGCGATTGGACAGCAGTTAGGCAGTCGTCAAAAGCCTCCTGGTGATAATTTAGCCGTGCCCTGCAGTGACATGATAATAATGCCCTCATATCCTGCTGTGATTCTCCTGATCGGCTGACAGTCAGGCACAAAAGGGCCTGAATCCATTATTAATGGGGAGGTGCATTTGCAAACCGGTTCAACATACAAAAGAGCCATCTTTGCTTAAATATTCACAGGAGAGAAAATTGAATATATTCACAATGTGAACTATTGTGGGAAATCTATAATTGCACTCCAACGAAATGGGAGTTTTCACTACATTTGATGGTCCGACCCTCACCTCTAAAAATTACAATAAATATTCCATACTGATAAATAATAGATGAGTCAATAACACTATACAGTTTCTACCTTGCCCTCATTACTCATTACCCACACACATAGTCAAATGTGCTACATCCCAGCACTACCCCTAAGCAATTAGTTGCTCTAAAATATCAGGGGGCTAGTTATTCAGGCATGTATTTCACAGTGTTATTGGTTTATCCGGAGCTCTACATGCAGGCCAAGCTCCCGCAAACACAGCCTCAGCAAATCCCCGAGCTCCTCTGCAGTCACCAAAGTAATTGGGGAGGGAGTCCCAAAGGGTCCTCGCACACACTGCTGAAATCTCTGCTACCGACGAGTTGAAATGGCAATGGAGGTAGATAGGTATCTGTGTGTGTGTGTGTGTGTGTGTGTGTGTGTGTGTGTGTGTGTGTGTGTGTGTGTGTGTGTGTGTGTGTGTGTGTGTGTGTGTGTGTGTGTGTGTGTGTGTGTGTGTGTGTGTGTGTGTGTGTGTGTGTGTGTGTGTGTGTGTGTGTAGGATAAAAGTACAGGAGGTGGATGGAGCGACCTATTTAGGCCCGTAGTAATTTAGAGTCGCTGGTTGGCTGGGAAACCATCTGGTTCCCCAGCCAACCAGCTGCATTGCCCATTTCTATGGGGATGTCAATTTTCGCTCATGGTGGTAGGGGGGTGGGGGTACTCTGTCCGGGTGCCAATTTAAGCCCCCACTGCTCAAAATTACTTAATTAACTCTATCTCTCACACAGAGAGAATCTCCCTTTGTAAGTAAGTCTACCATTCATCACAATCCAACCCTTTTATTCTACAGCTTGCCAACTGTCAGCTCGTGAAATTAGTGAGGAGCAGTTGAATGCGGGATAAAAGCCCCATGAGCGAATCCATAATATTAAACGAGCACAAACCCAAAAAATAGACTGCAAGTAATTTCCTAATTTCAGGCCAGATTTTAAAATGCACCTTAGCTTAAAAGCAGGAGATTTGTCTGGGACTGACGATCCGGTTAAAAGATGACAAACTAAATGTTTTTGTAACCATTAATTTTCCAGATTTAGGTACAGCTGTCTGCCACGAGGGACAAGATATCAGTGTGTGTGTGCGTGTGTGTGTGTGTGTGTGTGTGTGTGTGTGAGATAATTAATGACTTATAAATAAAGACTAAAGCAATATGTACATAACATAGATCAGGCTTTAATTCACAACAATCAAGAGTGTTAATGTTGCACACTGACTCGATGCACTGAGGCAAAGTGATCATATCCTGAGGTGATGATGAGACGAAGGTGAGATGCACTGCTTCCATTAAGCTGCAAAATAGAATAATATAAATAAAAGTAGGTGATTTATTTGTTCATTCCATTAATTGTATTTGTTTTACATTAAAATACTTTCATTTCGACTCACCGAAATAGCATTTGACTGAAGATGTCCCTCTGTTTGTTCAAATTCTGTAAAACAATAATGTTGGTAATCCCAATTAAAATTCTATGGTATTAAAAACCAAATTCGCAAACAGGTGCTGTCGACGGCTGTTCCTCTCACCTTTCTCTGTAACAGACTCAAACTGAGAAGCATTCTGTGAGGTGTTCTTCTCTATCTTTAGATGCTTGACTGCAAAAGAAAAAAACAAGACTAGATTTTCATAACGTTTTTTTAACATGAACAAAACTCTGAAACAACAAAAACTAGGTGTATTCTTTTTATGAAGGAAGGAAACGTTTTTCAGGAAATATATGGAACACTATCTTGTTTCTGAAAATGAGCATGGTGAATGTGGTTAAAAAATTACAAACATTAAAATAAAAACAAAACATTTGGCATATTCAAATGGGGGTGATTTGATAGCAGATCACATGTTTATGCCCTTCGGCTTTAAAATGTATTAGGGTTGCTTTGAATTAGATATATTGGGTGTATTGTCTGTCCATGTAAGTGTTGGTCAATTGGAAAACATTGCAGTACAGTAATCTAAAAGGTAGCATAGTATGTGTGACACCATACCATTATAGCTGTCCACTGTCACTGCAGAAATATCTGTCGGTTCAGCAAAGCGAATGATGAACTCTTGAGGAAACATCCCGGTGGACATCCAGAACGTGTTGGTATTTCTTGATAAAAAGGGAAAAACAAACATCTTAATGTTATCGCTAATCCAAATGGTATGGGATTGACTAAAGATAAATATAAAATAAACAAAATAAACACCTGATCTGACACATTTGACATAGAGAGATAGAGAGAGAGAGAGAGAGAGAGAGAGAGAGAGAGAGAGAGAGAGAGAGAGAGAGATAGATAGATAGATAGATAGATAGATAGATAGATAGATAGATAGATAGATAGATAGATAGATAGATAGATAGATACTTCATACATCCAAAAATTGTGAAAGAACATGAACCACAAATAATACTCAATATAAAATGTTATAGATAGTTTAGACTATTCTATAAAAACAAACAATATGTTACAGTAGCAGACTGTAACATGTAACACTGTAACATCTGTAGACTTGGTATGTCTTAAATGTCCGGTTAGGATGTATTAGAACGAAATCTAAAATGAAAATTGTAAATAAGCCATCTGTATGTAAAAAACACCTGTATGTAAATTGTAAATAAGTCATCTGTATGTCAAATATGTCTTATATGTCTTAAATGATATGATGAATTGGAAATGGGGGACCCTGATGTAAACAAGACGAAAGTCTTTCTCTGGTCTGCATCCCCTTAACAATTGTATGTTTTGAGCTGTACTGTACTGTACCCAATATACAAGCTGTTAATAAACTTTTCAATCAATCAATCAATCAGACAACATATACGTAACGATAGTATATTCATTTACAGTTGTCCTATTTTTAACCCTAGATAGGTAGCAAATGACACAAAAAAGTAAATTGGAAGACACTATTTCCTCGGTTCGTAGGAGGATATAAAAATAATGTAATAACTTAAACACTAACCCATCAGTGATGTTTTCTGGAGGGTGATTCTCGTCGCTCGATGAAGCGACAACAACTTTTGCCCCCAAAGAAGCTAAAGATGACTCAATCATCTTCACTGACTCACACGGCAAATATGATGCTCTCCACTGCTGCCTGGTGTAGAATATAACTGTATATCCGACAATAACACACAATAATCTGCTTTGTTTACGTGTCTTGGAGAAGTCGACAGCTAAGCTAACCTGCGCTAACCTAGCTACTGTCGTTGCCAAGCCAACCACCGCGTCGCAACTAATATACGTCAGAATTAGAACACACACGTCACTATTTACCGACGCACGTTGCTGGTTAGTTTTTAGCAATTAGCTTTGAGCAGTGACATTTACACGTCTTCTCATGGCGAATGGATACAAAGACACGTTGTTTTCTCGTGGAGGTGGACAGGTCAGTTATGATGCGCTAATGAGCATAAGGTGACAACACGTGCGATGCTTTAAAGGCTGCTGTAGATTTGGTTAAGAGTTGTTGAGCTTGGAAGCTAAGCTACAAACTAGCTCGGTTTAGTTGGTAACAAAGAGGAAAAGATGCACAAACTATCAAACTAAATATCCATAGAGTATCTGAAGTGTTTCATTTGTCGAAATGTTTCCCAATTGTAATATATTGTATTGGACAGACTTCACGTGAGCTAGCTTTAGCTGCTCGTTTATGTGGCACTTATTGTAGCATCCTTTCCAAAGTGCAGTGATGCAAAGCTAAACCATACAGGTCAGATAAAATAGCTACTCTGTTAAAGTGTTACTGTAAGTAAAAAAAAAAAAGCATAGAAATCACGTAAGAGCCCACAATCCTTTTGCATGTTATCTGTCTTGTTATGCATTGAATGTGAAATGTGTGTAAGAACATGAATCTTTTCATCTATAGAATCTTTTCATGCTATAAATCTGTTCTCATTTCCAGAGTGATGATTCTGATATATGGGATGACACAGCATTGATAAAGGCTTATGACAAGGCAGTCACATCATTCAAGGTAAAACAGGTGCTTTGTAATCATAGACTGTATATATAAAGTTTGCAATGTATGTGTAAGTTAAAGGGACATGTTTTTAGTTTTGCCGCTCATTTGTTTGCTTTTGATCTGTGTTCCAGACTGCCCTTAAGGGTGATGAAGAGCCAGAAGCCTCCAAGAAAAACCTACCTGGAAAAAAACGCAAGAACAACAAGAAGAACCAGAGCAGGAAAAGAGTCAATGCAGATAAAGAGGTGACTAACTAAAGAATACAGATTTATTTTTATTTATTTATTCGTTTATTTGGACATTAATGAACCAAGTGTAAATATGCCGGATTTAACTTTGAGCTACTTTCCATCCGCAGTCTCCACATAAAACATTAAGAAAATTACAAACATAGCTGTACAAATACATAAAATGCAAGAAAAGTGCAAGAGTAACGGCCCGTCCACACAGCGGCGTGCGTTGAAGCTTCAACGCTTCTGCCCATTCACTTTGAATGGGGTGACGTCACTTTTCGCCTAACTGCATTGTGGGAAGCAGAGCGGAGCTTTCCTGGCGTTTCAGGCTGCAAAAGTTGAGCGATGTTCAACTTTTGAAGCTTCTGAAGCTTTCGGTGGAAGCGTCAGCCAATCAAATCATATGCCAGTACAAGCTCTGGCCAATCAAACCGCTGCTTGTGTGTCAGGGGCGGGAGATTCATGTTGTTCAGATTGGTTGTTGGTCGAGCTTCAGACACGCCCGCCGGCAAGCTTTTTCCAAAGCCGCTGTGTGGACGGGCCGTTACTTTAGACCAGAGCCCTGTACCACGAATCCAGTTCAACATACCCTGGATATGTTTGAGTTACCTGGCTTACCTAATCCAAAACAAACGCGATCTCGCTAAGCGGTCCTACGACGCTGGTTATCAACTCGGTAACTCAAGCCAGGGTTTCTCTGTCCGGCTGAGTGCATGTTCACATGAAAGGGGCGGGGCTAGCAACATTTGACCAATCACAAACATGGAGAAACGTACTGACAGCGCAGCGTCATACTTCCTGAATGAAAAGTGAACTTTAATATTAGTCAAATATGAAGAAGTTAAACTTTAAACATCCATGACTTAAACACTTTATCCAGGATAAAAGCCACATAGCTGCACCTGCAAGGTGAATACAGCTGGAAAAAGTGTTTGAATGCGTACATTAACAGGTTTATGATATCACTGCCTCGTCTAAGACACGAGTGGATCTGACAGAAATTACATTTGACTCGAGTGTTTCGTCAATTTAATGTGTTGCTTAAAATAATACTTCTGCATACAGTATGTGACACTGTAGTGTTGCACGGCCAGATACGGCTCAAGAAGCTGACTCAAATAAGGAAATATATGATACATTATGATGTGATATGAATGATAATGGGACACATCGACGTCTGCACTCAGTGCCGCGGACTGTACGTAATGTTACTATGATCCGGTTACTTATGTCGTGGCAGATATTTAAGTAAGCTTTCTTAACGCTAATATTATATTAGTCAGATTGCTCTGAAGATGGGAGGTGATATTCTATTAATGTTCACGTTCACACAGTCGGTGATTTTTGCCGGCCGTCTTTCCTGCAACGGCAGTTTTTCTGTATTTCCTCTATCCTGTAATATGACTTGATAGCTTTAAACTCCGCACACTGAGCTCTGATTGGTCAGCAGGCGGTGCTTTCACTGAGTTGATCTCTTATCCTGGAACCAAACCTGCTCCGCAGCAGGTTAGCCATTCAGCATAAGTTACCATGGAGATCTAGCCCGCTAAGAAGTGAACCAGCGTCGTAGGACCGGAAACCCAGAGTTTTCCCTGAAGTTAGCTCGCTAAGCAAAAATCCGGCTTCGTAGTACAGGGGGGTATACTACGAATCAAGATTTTCGTTTAGCAAGCTAACTTCAGGGGTTTCCGGTCCTACGAAGCTGGTTCACTTTTTAGCAGGCTAGATAACTTAACGGCTATCCTCCGGAGCAGGATAGGTTCCAGGATAAAAGCACTGCCTGCTGACCAATCAGAGCTCAGTGTGCGGAGTTTAAAGCGATCAATTCATATGACAGGAGGAGAAAGGAAATACAGTTTAAACTGCCGTTGCAGGAAAGACAGCCGGCCAAAATCACCGACTGTGTGAACGTGAAAATGAATAGAATATCACCTCCCATCTTTAGAGCAATCTGACTATTATAACATTAGCGTTAAGAAAGCTTACTTAAATATCTGCCACAACATAAGTAACCGGATCAGAGTAACATTACGTACAGTCCGCGGCACTGTGAGTGCAGACGTCGATGTGTCCCATTATCATTCATATCACATCATAATGTATCATATATTTCCTTATCTGAGTCAGCTTCTTGAGCCGTATCTGGCCGTGCAACACTCACAGTGTCACATACTGTATGCAGAAGTATTATTTTAAGCAACACATTAAGTTGACGAAACACTCGAGTCAAATGTAATTAAAGTCAGATCCACTCGTGTCTTAGACGGGGCAGCAGTGATATCATAAACCTGTTGATGTACGTATTCAAACACTTTTTCTTTTACCAGCTGTAGCCTATTCACCTTGCAGCTGCAACTATGTGGCTTTTATCCTGGATAAAGTGTTTAAGTCATGGATGTTTAAAGTTTAACGTCTTCACATTTGTCTAATATTAGTTGACTTTTCATTCAGGAAATATATGACGCGCTGCGCTGTCAGTACACGGCTTCTCCATGTTTGTGATTGGTCGAACACTCCAAATACCACCCCTTTTATGTGAACGCGCACCTAACTAGATAGGACACGGCTGGCTTGAGCGATCGAGTTGATAGCCAGCGTCGTAGTACCGTTTAGCGAGAGTGTTTATTTTTTTTATTTAGTCAACCGGATAACTCAAAACATATCCAGGATATGTTGAACTAGATTCGTAGTATACCCCCCAGGCCTCAGGATATATCCAAAACAGAATAGTGACACTGTTTTTATTGTGTGTTGCAGTGGCAGGTTGGGGACTCTTGCAATGCGTACTGGTCTGAGGACGGCCAGCTCTACGCAGCCAACATCTCCTCCATAGACGAGGATAAGGGCACTTGTATAGTTGTTTTTACAGGATATGGCAACGAGGAGGAGCAAAACCTTGAAGACTTGCTTTCAGAGATTTCCGAGGCTGATGAGGAAACAAATGTCGAGGTAAAGCAGTGCATGTACATTAGAAATGTTGCATTTTATTCAATGTATATTCAATGCCTCTTTATTTAAGGTTGATGGTGATACATTGCATCTCTTGAGTTCATTTAGTTTGGGAGCATTTAGTATTATTTCCTTTTTAAATAAATGTAATAGCGTGACGGAAATCATTAAAGGAAAGAGTGTTCTTTCTACACATTTATATTTTCAGTATTGAAAAACCCCTTACACACATGCAGCTTAATTTGTGAATGGCTCACCAACTTTACATTTCGCTGTGCGCTATGAAAAGGAGCTGGAGTCATTTTCCAAATCACTCGGGCAATGAGCGACTTCTACAACTTTCACTTGGTGAAAAAGGGCTTCATTATTCCATGATACTGTTCACACAAAGTTCTGTATTTCACTCTGCAGATATGCACACCACAAATGGGAAATGACTTCAATGAACAGCATGTGTTGAACATTATACACACTGTCATATCCTTTAAGTTTTTATTTGGCCATTTTCTGAACACATGTTACCTAATTATTGACCGGTTAATGTCAATTACAGTACTTTATTTTCTATCCAATAAATACTTCTGGAATGCAATGAACATAACACATTGCTATCAATACAACTGTGGCTTATCAATATAAGGGTTACAATGTAATTAGGAAAGCATCTGATATGGATTGTAAGAAATGTAACACTTTTTTCTTCTGTTTTTGCCCTATTGCTTTGAGGGGTAAAAAAACAAATTCAAATATATTTTATAAAATCCTCCTATGTGTATAAACTAATAAAAGGAGATGACAAATCAAGGCTAAAATATTGTCTCTGCTACTCAGGTAAAGGAGACGGAAACGTCAACAGAGGAGAGTGACCGGTCAGCCACACCCAACCAACACAAACAGCAGCACAGTAAACCACAGAAGTCCAAGGGCAACAGACAACCCCCTCCTATGTGGGTTCCTGGTTTCCCTGGGTTACCTCCTGGGTTTCCTCCTGGGCCGCCCCCCATGCATGCTTTCAGACAGGTGAGAAGGACAATTCCACATAGCACCTGTTTCTGGTGGAAAGGCACTGGCAGGGCTCTGTTCAAGCTTCATCCTAGTACGATCCCACGATATCTTGACAACGTATCACCACTGTTGTCTAACAAACCAGCAACGATGTTATTTTATCTTTGTGTGCTACTATACACTTGATTGACATTGTATTTATCAGAAAAGATTGTTGCTCTCTCACTTTGCACTGAATAATCTTCACCGCTCAGTCTGATAAGGGAAAGGGGGAAGGACGATCGGCTTCAAAAAACAGGCTTTGGTTTTGTTTTGAAAAACAAGCTTTTTATTCCAGTTTATACAGTGATGTGATGTCACAGCGCTTGTCTGAAAAGTTTGAATATTTTTCAACTTGAAGCGCTCGGTGTGTCCACACAGAAACAGTGCTGCCCTCAGAAATAAGCCGCTTTCCCTCGAGTCGGCCACATGCAAATACATGTGCTGCTTCTTCATCGGAAACAATTGAAAGAAGTTGCTGGCACCCACAAAAATTGTGAAAATGTCCCGGTAACCGACTATTTTCATACACAATGTCGCAGAAAGTTTGAAATTTAAGATTAGAAAATTAAGGCTTAATACATTCTATGAGTGGGTTAGTTCTGCTGCAAGGAAAATAATTTAAACAATTAAATGTAAACAATAAAGTGTTTTACAATGTGAACAATAAAACCAGCATATAAACAACAGCCTCTCAGAGTTGGCATTTATAGCCGGGAGATTGTATTGGGTTGCAATTAATCTAACTGGTGGTTATGCTAATGGCTCTACCCTCTGTATAAATACAACTCTGTATAAAAGCCATAAAAGAAGGAATAGTACAAATGTTGTTTTTTCAAAGAATGAATGTTAAATCAAAGCTCTCTTCCAAATCGGACATAATATACATTATGTACAAAAATTAGTAAGCCTCAGACTGTAGATATTTCATTTCAGGTAAAGTTCAGTGAAGAAAGTTGTTAGAGCCATGTTTCTCCTTTTTATCAAAATGACTTAATTTTTTGTTTTTTTTACCTTCATCAGGGTGGAAGCAGAAGATCCGGTGGTCACGGGCCTGCACCTCCTTCCTGGCCTCCCATGATGCCTTGTGGTCCTCCAGTAAGTTTGCATATATCTATACACTAAAGAGAAATGCACCAGCTACGGCAGACACTGATTATTTGATGTAAAAAAAACACATTTACTCCTTCAGCTGGTAAATTAAGAAACGACTGTCAATTCAAATGTAATTGACAGACAACACATATTTTCAGTCTGCATCATCTTCATTATCTCTCTCTCTCTCTGCTTCAGATGATCCCCCCCCCTCCTCCCATGAGCCCTGACATGGTGGATGACGAGGCTCTGGGCAGCGTGCTGATCTCCTGGTACATGAGTGGATATCACACTGGATACTACTTGGTATGTGCACAGAAGCTATCTGACTTATGATGGGCTATAAAGGAACATTACAGCCTGTATTTACAGCCTCTTGCATTATTTAGAAAGTGCAGTGGGTGTTTATGGTAATTATTTGGAGGAGTTTTTGGTAGTTACACACATTTTGCTGTTATTTCTTATCTACAATAACCTTTCCCTCCAATGCGACCAGCTGCATAAAAGGTGTGAGACCTTGATTTTTATAAGGTGAGCTATATTAACATCATATTCCTTTTTTACAGGGGTTGAAACAAGGACGCAAAGAAGCTGCCAATTGGACCAAACTGCACCACAAATGATTCGTCTCCACATCTCATAGTTTCTCAGCCACCCTCCCTTTTGTGCCTAATGTGTATTTTTTTGTTGTTACAATTCAATGATTTGAAGGAAGTGTACGTGCTGTGAACACCAGTTCATCGCAGCTCCAGGAGGAGAGTTTTGTATTCTTTGTAAATAGATTAAATAAATAAAGGCTATCTGAGCACAGTTGATAACGCACTCGTTGTTTTTTGAACCGCAGCATAGAAACACAGTTGCACTAAATTGACAGTAAATGTGTGTATGTATAGCCATTGTTGTTCAATGATGGATATGTCAACACGGTATTTTGCTCATTTAAGCAAACAAGAGACTATCCAATTTTGTGTGTGTGTGTGTGTGTAACACTCTTATTTGTTGTAATGGCAAGTCATGTCCAGCAGAAGTCAGACTAGTATAATGTATTCACGTGATAAGAACATGCGTCATGAATACATAATAACTTGCTGTTTAGTCCTGTACAGAATGGCTGACATACACTCTTTGCCTCTAAGTGCTGTATACACTTGTGTCTCTGGGCATGCTAAGAATTTAATTGCAAGCCAGACTTAAGTCCTGCTTTAGGTCCCTCTGGTGCTTTCCACACAGTTCATTCAGAGAATGGTTCCAGTGTATGCGTTGCGTTGGAGCTCCGTTTCCCCTGAGGTGTTCCTCATCCACCAACCAATACAGCATCGCATGATCCATCATCATGTTTTTCACATTGGATGTGTGCATAATTCAGGCTGATGGTTGCCAAGGTTTCAACTGCCGTTGTGCAAGTTTGCAAGATCCTTTAAGCTTGAAAACTTTCAATATAGACATAAGGGATTTAACACGTAAGAGAAAGAACATTGAAGTGTTTTGATACCACTGGAGTGTTTTATAATTGTGTATGCTTGTGTGGAATGAGAGCACATTGTGAGTTACTGTCTTGATAACTTAGTGTCCACACACCCTATATGTATTCACTTACATCACTTGAAAACTGATTCTGTAATGTTTGAAGTGTAATAATGTAGGAACAGTAAAGGAAGTAGGGCAATAGTTACTGTATGTGTATATTTAGAATAAAGAAAACCACATGTAATTATAGTGGGAACAGCCAGAGCCATTTCGCTGTGCCTGTAGCACTTTCATTCCAGCAGATTCCCTTTATTTCCAATATTTGCTGCTTGTTTACACCCACTCCTCGGCTTCAAACCTGGTAGGCAATAGATCATACGCTCTACGTGTGTGTGAAGCAGAAAGACAAGCAGAAAACCATTGTGTGGTTCCGTGTATCGGCGTTATTGTGTCCTGATTTCTTATATCATGTGATGTTCTTCCAGCTGCTCCATGGCCACGATCTCTGACTGAAGAGCGGCCCCTTTGTTTGTGTGGTATTTTATATCCTGCTGTGACTGATTCTAACTGTGGCAGTCACTTTTGTTTCTGCCTGTTTGTGTGGGCAAAAGAAGGGAACATTTTTAGTTTTGGGGATTTACAAATAGAATATGCATTATAAACGAGGGCTGATAAACCAGACCTATCTGTTCCCCACAGACGGATTTTAAATCTGCCACGGCAAAGCCAGCACATAAGCCCCTTGCCTGCCTGACTGCGGCACACTGAGCTGCCCAAAGGGCCCGATGGAGCCCAGCGAGGAGTTAAAAGGGGGTCAGACCTAGCTTGGGAAAGCGCTGCTCCCCCCTGAGACTGTCTACCCCCTACTGACCAGAGCGGCATGAGGCGTGTAAACATAATCTGCATTTCACATTGTCCCTTCTAGGAAACACACACACACATCCAAGAGAGATCACATTGAGTTACAGCGCCTTCAGCTGTTTACTCCCAACGTCAACAAACATCTTGCTTTTAAATAAGAGACTGGGGGGGAGATTAGAGGAACACAAGCCCCTTTCCCTTTTTCCATAGAGACCGAGCACTAAACACTCATTGCAGATACAGTCATTATATTTTTATGTTGCAAACACCTTTATTAATGGAGAAGTCTTTTGCTTTATCACTAGATGTTAATGCATGCAGTTCTTTGTTTTACAGAGAGCTCCAAAGTGTTAGAAAATGCAAACAAAGCCTTGGGAAGCACAACAATGTGTTTTCCTATTCAAAAGAACACAAACACAATCTAATGAGTGTTAGTCTAACAACAGATTGCTGTATTAAGTCGTTTATAATTCAAGAAACAAAACATGCTTACCATCACAACATATTACCATAATGCCATACGGTGGATTTTCAGACTTAATTGCCGACCCACCGTTAATTAAAGCAATTTGTGAATAGTAGGAAAATCACAGTTAACAATGGCTGGCAATAACACAAACCTGATGTATGTATTACCGACACACATACATGTAAATATATTTAATAATATGTTTATGACTCAAATATATGTTCATTTCTTATTTTAACAGTTACTTACATGTATATTTTATATTTAATTGAATTAATCTTTAATCTTGTGTTAAATCCTGTCTCGTTTTTCATTCTCACCCTGTTGCTGTTAAACTACTGCATTTCCCCACAGGGATTAATAAAGCTCCATCTTATCTTATCTTATCTTAATGCATTGATTTCCAGCTTGCCATCACTAAAGGTTTTTCTTTTTATGATTTTGCTTTTGTGTAGCCTCTGCTTCCTCTCTCTTTTAACATTCTTCACTTGGATAGTTTCTGTTAATACATGATTAGGTCATGGTTGGGGTTACGCTGTGTGTGAATCTACAGAAAATAGATAAATAGAGCTTTGAAAACCGGCTTCTATAGCTACCGAGCACTTCTTGTAATATCACTGATCTGCTCATAAAAAAAACACAACATAGGATAGAGTGTTTCTTTACGTTGAAGCATTTCAAGCACAGATGTACAAAGTATCAGTCGATATAAGGCTGTGTACTGGTACTTAAACCTTAACGAATGAACAGCCAAACACACACCTACTACAAACCAAGGGTGGACAGTTCATGTGTCTAAAGAGTCTGAATTGGATGTTAGTCCCTATCCGGGTAAAATGCACCTTCTTGGGCCTAGATTAGATAGATAGATAGATAGATCGTACTTTATTGATCCCAAATTGGGAAATTGTTTTTGTTACAGCAGCATAAAAGGCATTTTACAATAAAACATGACTACAAAATATACAAGAATAGAAAGAAAATAAAATAAAATATAAAATATACATGTCGAAATAGAACATATACATGCAGATATTATATATATATATACAAATATATATATATATTCAAAATATATGGAATATGGAGTATTAAATATGAAACAGATTATGTATGAGTAAAATGTACAACGTGGTTTTATTTCAAGAGAAACTATGGAGCAGAGAAGCAGCCCTTAAAGCAGCCCTATTAAGCTTTTTGGGGGTTTTCCCTTTCCAGTAGTGTGTTTTTTTTGTGCATGTAATGGTTGACAAAGGCTAAAATCCCAAAGTTCCCTCCAGAGGCCTCCTTTGCTTACTTTCTGAACGTAGTGACATCACCACGTAGCACTGACGCTTCTATTGGCTAGCGCTCCAACACATTGTACGTGATATCGTACGGGACATCTCTAAGCAGTTGGCCAATCACAACAGAGCCGCCCAGCTAACCAATCAGAGCAGACTGGGCTCTGGTTTCAGACAGAGGGTGAAAAGAGGTGCTGCAGCACAGGCAGTATGAGAAAAATAAAGAGCTTTTTGAACATTAAAGCATGGAGACATGTCACAGTATAGAGACACTACATACAAATATGAACCTGAAAATGAGCAGAATAGGGCTCCTTTAATAAGCAATGTTGAGGTATCACTTTGGGTCGAGAAGTCTTGGACTTCCAATCCGACTTCTGTAAATGTGGATGTCACCTCAATGACCTTCTGACCTTTCCCCTCACAGCAGGTCCAGTAAAGACCTGGTGCCGCCACAGATCAGATTCACATTCCTGCTAGATCTTCAAGCCCTGGTTCAGAGGCTCATACATAAAATGTTATAAGATGAAATCAAAACCTATACCCCCCGCTTTACAGGACTCTAAGTACGCTGCATTATTGGTATAAAGGAAACACTTATTCTCAGAGGCCAAAGAGTACGAATGGAACATATTAAAAAGCTCCTGATGCTTTGACAGGTCAAGGGAATTATTTTATCTGCATGCTTATTATGCGATACGCTAAGTCAAGTGATTTTAACCTCCTCACGCATTGTTGACCCCCGCACTCTCATGCTGGATTCAATACTCTAAGGCACATTATTCAGTCAAACATCTCTTGCATCCATATGTATTCTAGTGAAATCCTTGAGCTTTCCAAGCATACCAAACAAGTAAGGTTAGGAATGGTACAGCCCTAAAATAATTAGGAATATATGAATGTGCCAGCCAAGGATGCAGGAGGCTTCATTAAAAGGTTAGTGCATTACATTAAAGTACATTTTGCACATCCTCGATAAAGTTTTGCTGGTACTGAACTGTCATAATTTTGTACATCTTTTCATTGTATCTTTTGCTTATTTAATGTGATGTATTATTGTATTTTTGACTTTTTGCAGTACTTTGCCAGTATTCTTTCCATGTTAATATGTTTATTGTTGGCCCCAAAACAACAAGGCAAACTTCTGGTGAAAAACTGCTTGGCAATAAACCTTATTCTGATAACTTGGATTTGTATAGTATTTTTCAAACCTGTAGATTCATTTAACACACAACATAACAAACACATTTGCAAGTAGGCAGGATGCACACTTAAGTTGGAGTGTAATGCTCTCACTTTGAACGTACTTTAATCATTTTAATTTGAATCTTTGGAGTGCCTGTATTGTGTCAAAATTACTAGACATCAGTAAAAATCAATCAATCAATAAAAAAATAATATATAAGAAAACTAAGTTAACTAAGTAGCACAAAAAAGGCAAAAATGATTGGCATGTGATTTAAATAACAGTTGAAGGAATCGTCGAAATGAGGCTACTTGATTAATGTAAAAGCAGCCTAATGTTGATGATGCCTTGTACATCTAGGATTTTTTCCTAGGCTATATTTAAAAAATATATTTTCCAATGCTGTGGTTCTGAATAAAGCCACCACTTTCCGATGCATTGTGTGTTCCTTGTCCATGCATGTTCTAAAAAGTAACAACAACTTCTACAAACTTGAAATAATTGACGTTACAACTGTTAAAATAGTAATAATAAGTATAGTGATTCGTGCGCACATCTGGTTCGATGCTTCATCCTTCTCTGCTGAATGACTTGCGAAAAAAAAGGCCTGCAACAGGCATCTGTGATATTGCATAAGTAAATCTCTGCCTCCCTGGCCGGTAGGGGTCTCCGGATAGGCTGCAGGACAGGGTGAAGGTTGGGTCCGGGCTCCACTCCTCCACATGGGGTGTCACCACCATGTCACTGTTGCCTCACAAGGGGCAGTGTTTGGAAAAGTGAAAAGTCAGCTGTGAGAGAAGACTCTGTTAATCACTTTTACTTTCTTCTTCCTGCGTGTGGACTTGCTTCAGTCTCATATCAGAAGAAGCGTCAGTATTTGATTCGGGGTTTTTCTTAATCTCTTGGGAGTTTTCCCCCGGTGAGGCCGTTTCGTACCACCTGAATCCGCGCCGGGGCTGTTTTTTTTGAAGTTTTTCGAAGCAATTCCTCCCTTTGCGCACACTTTAAGTTTGCCTAATCCGCCGCGCAAAGGACTGCGTGTGAAGTTGGCAGAAAGCAGAGGCGATGTTTTGCCGAAATCAAACAACCAGAGCAACCGTTGCCCGCGGCTCTGCCCTTGAAATGGAGATACGGCGAGGGAAGTTCAGAAAGAGCGTTTTCCTGGACACATCACAGGTACACACACACACACACACACACACACACACACACACACACACACACACACACACACACACACACACACACCGGGGGATTCTCTGTTTACAACTTTGAGTGATCTCTCTCCCTCTGCAAACTAACTCATTTGGCTCATTCTAATCTCGTTATGAAGTCTTTTGAGGAGTGCTATATTTTAATTAAACTGCACTGGAGAGCTGCTGCCTTCACGTCCTCTGTTAATTGCAGCATCTCCAAACTACTTTGCATTTTACTCGACTCTAAACAAAAACCAATAATATCCCTACTGAGAGTTCTAAGTGTGCCTGTGGTACTCACTAATGTGTTGGTAGTAAATAAAAGGTGCTAATGTTCTCTTCCATCTCCCATGGTATTGTTTTAATATTCAGCTTCATTTGGTATTGTGTTGTTTTGTTGTGATGCTGGCACCTTAAAATGGTTATTGCATGACATTTGTTTTTCATTATGGCTCATTTTTAATAAAAAAGGCATTATACCTGCTCTAGTCATTCTGTCCCCAGGAGGTTTCTGCTTCAATGCTCTATTGTGAAGCCCATTGGCTCAGTTGTGTGTGTCTTTTAACTGCTTTAGCTTTGACTGCAGAATGTGGACAGTCACCCTCAAGGGAACCACCAAAAAAGTATTCATCCAAAAGTTGAGAACTAGGTCAGAGCCTGCATCCCTCTCAGCTGTTTAGCACTGGATTAAACTGCTACTCTTCATGCATGTCTTCCTCTTCCTCCCTGCAAAGCTGCCATGTAAACATCTGCTTCATATTAGCCACCGTTTGTCGGCATAGCAGACATTTCCAATCCATCCTCTAATTATTTTTTACTCGCTTGCCTCTTTAATATTGTTGTGATGGAAAGTCCTCCCTCTGTCTATCTGCATCCTCTCTCACACACACATACAAACACACATTCATTTTCTGGCATCCACAGGCAGTTTGCATATCACTTTCACTTGTTATTTGGTAGTTCAGTCAGACGTATGTTCCAGAGGCATTTCTGTGCTTTAAATTAAACCCACATTTTACCTGTAAACAGTTTTGAAAGGTCAAAGAATTGTTATGGTGATGCTAGACAGAGAAAAGAGGTGTGTGTGTGTGTGTGTGTGGGGGGGGTGTTGAAGAGAGTATCAGTGAAAGAGAAAATGTGGTGGATTGGATTGTAAGAGGATATTTAAGGAATGTTAATGGTGCAATACAGCACATGGAAAAGATAGGGTATTGATTCTGTCTCTCCCCTTCTCTCTCCTTCTCTCTCACCCTGCCCATTTGTGTGCAGGCATAGACACTGTCAGCTTATGTTCACCAGTTGTTTATGATTTATGTCACATGAAAACACCCCTAACCCCGGGAGAGTCAGGCGCACTCGTATCGTATTGATGTGCTTTCAGAAATTACCCTGATGGTGTCTGAGCAGCGTGGGTTCATATCTTACACACACACACATACAGGCCAATAATACCTAACATCTCCTGGAGGTGGAATAGTGTTCATGTGGTTATATCTATACAGTGATTCAGGCAGGAGTGAACAGTCAGTGTGTTTTATTTTCAGATGGGGTGAGTTGATGCATGCCTCTGGGGTGTACCGACAGCAATTTTCCTCAGAGGCATTGTGATAAGAGAGATGAGCATTGGCACGGGGTTGTATACGCAGTGAAGGCATTCGTGACTTGTCTTTCATAATATTTATTTCTGTATCTGTTTGGCCAGATGAGTCAGGTGAGGGTAATATGATGAGGGAGCAGAGGTGGAGAGGAAGAAAAAAATGAATATGAAAAGAAACTGATCTGGTGAACCATCACATTCAGTGTGCCTTTTGTGATTTGTCCTTACCTGCAGTGTGTTATATCGGTTTGTGTGCATGTTAATGGTCTGCAAATGCTCAAATCCCAAAGTTCCCTCCCTCTTTACCTCTGTAACATAGTGACATCACTGTGTAAGACTGCGCTTCCATTGGCTAGCGCTCCAACACATTGTACGTGATAGGCTAAAGGACAGAGCATCTCTTAGCGTTTGACCGATCACAACAGAGCCGGCCAGCTAGCCAATCAGAGCAGACTGGCCTCTGGTTTTAGACAGAGGGTGAAAAGAGGTGCTGCAGCACAGGCAGTATGAGAAAAATAAAGACTTTACGTTTTTATAACATGCCTTTCATAATAATATTCATGCAGACGTCTAAAAGAAATGACCATATACAGTACAACAGTTTAAAAAAGCAAACGTTTTTTTTTATTCTGTAAAGTGTAAGCTATTTTAAAATGTATTGTAACATTATTAACCTGCTATAAATTCCAATCAATTATCCATTTTTTGATGTAACTCTAAAGGAGCACATACCGTCTTTGTATCCTGATAACGTACTCCCATTACATCTATCCCCTAACTCCCTAAAACTAATCCAAATGCAAACTTTAGAATTATTCCACCCCTAACTCAAACTACTTTTCCCTGTTTAGCCTCTGTATTTATCAAGGTAAAGACTTCCCTTCTATTCACAATCATTGCTTCCTTAACTGTGTAATCTGCTCTCCGCTGGTTCTCATACAAGATTAATTTGTGTCTGTGGCTTTGTTGCCAATGCTAATGATCCTCTTTCAGGGACTCTCCTCCGGCTCTGTGTGTTAGGGCTCTCAATGCCGCTGTGGAGCCCGTCCGTGGCATTTCAATGAAGCAGGTGTACCTCTGTGAGAGAGCAGCCTCTTTCCTCTGTGCCAGTGGATATCACATTTGTGTGTGTTCGCTTATTTGTGCCAACATTTGAACCTCTTGTGTAAATGTGTTTCTGTAGGTCATTGACATGTTATCAGAGAATGAAACGAACAAACAGCTACACCTTTGTTAGACCGAAGTGAAACTCATTTGTGTGCCATGACAATGTGTAATCATTAGGGAAAGGATACTGTTAAGGACTATCTATATGCCAGGTATGAAATCTAAAGTTTGCAATATAGCATATTCACTGCAGGGGATTATGTTCATTTAATTATTTTAAATAATTAAGTCTATGTTTTTTGTTAAAGGGATTCATGTAATATCTTTTAAATAGATCATCACTATGAGTGTGCGTATGGTTCTATGTGTGTGTTTTAACGTGCCTGAAGGCTAGAGGCAAATTAAGCCAAAACTGCTGTTAGTAATCTAGAGACAGCAGGAACAGACTTTGGGGATTTTATGGACAATTTGCCTAATTATGACAATCAGTTCTGTTTTTAAAAGATATCAATGTTACAAATGTTGCCAGGTGTCAATTTGAGGTGAAGTATATTCTCGGCTAGTTATTGTTTCTAATATAATTGCTTGTCGTATCTGCAGAAGTCCTGACAGTCGTGTTGTGTTCTGACTCGTCTCCTCTGACGGTCTGAATCACTCTGCTGTGCGCACATCACACATTGACAGGGCTTTATGGCCAGAGAGTGGAGGGAGAATGGGAAACTGAAGCAAAAAGATTACGTGCTAATTCAGCATATGTCCAGAAATCCATTCTGCAGTCGATCCTCTGCCGGCTGCTCTCAGTGGGAGCGGAGAATACATCTGCTTTCTACATCCCTCCTCTGTGATCCACAAGGCCACCGGTGTGTCTCAGCCCCCCCCCCCCCCCCCCCCCAATACTCTCAGCTGAAGCCACCCAGGCCCTGGTGCAGTTATTATTCTGAAGTTTGGGGATGGCATGTCCTGTATTTCAATGACTTATGTTTAACCAAAGGATGGTCCCCACTAAACTTTACTTCTGCAGCTCAAAGTGCTTTATCAAATTGACGATCGAAAAATAAGACATTCAATTCAAGTCACATTTTTAAACCAATAACAAATGTAGCATGTGTACATTATATATTCTCAATGGAATACAAGAAGGTAAAATAAGCAAGATGATAAACGCAACAAAAATAATCCAATTTAGTTAGAATTAGAGAGACATAAGAAAACATTTATAAAAAATTAGAAGGGGACTGTTTCTAAAAATAAATAACAAATAAAAGTATATTTTCAGCTGTTGTTTAACGTGTATTTCCTGGTAATATAAGGTGTTCCATATATTTGGATGAGAAATGGATAAAAGCTGCTTTCCCCATTTTATTTCGGGGGACTTTTTAAATATTTAAAATGCCTTCTGTTGAGGAGCGTAGGGCTGGCAGAGGGACATAAAACAATAGAGAATTGCAAATATAAGAGGGTGCCAGACCATAAAATCAATTCTAGAAGATACAGGAAGCCAGTGCAGTGAAGCCAATATGGGAGTAATGTGGTCTCTCTTTTTTTGTTTTTGTTAAAAGCCACGTAGAGTTCTGAATTTGGCTGAAGTTAACGATTGACTTTTTTGGAAGACAAAGTGTAACAATCACTACCGTAGTCCAACCTGCTGGAGATGAATGCATGAATGAGTTTTTCAGCAACTTCTGTATTGAAAAACTGTCGAGCAGTGGTGATATTCCTGAGGTGGAAGAAAGTTGTTTTGGTTAACTTGCTGTAAACTTAAGTCAGAATCTAAAATAACTCCCTGACTTGTTACCTCCATTATTCCAAGTATCCTCTTAAGACTATAGTCCACACTGTGGGTACCACCAGCAGGGCCAGGAAGTGGTTAGATGTGTGTGAGATGACACACCCATCCACCCACACTCTCTCCCAGCCTGCAGGAGTGTATGGCAAATCCTTGGGAGTCTGCCGCTTGTGATAAATACAAGCTTTAACAGCTCTGGGCTGCGGTTGGCTTGGTTTTGGTGCTCTGCCCTTCTCCACCCTGTAGATCCACACACTCTCACCAGCAAGTATCCAAACTGAACATACTAGTGGCTTGAGTGAAATGTTGGATACCATGGGTGTTTCCCAGGCTCAGCATATGTTCACCCACCCTAAAAAGAATGTGTTGGTCACACCAGTAGTCCGCTGACTCCTATCTTGCAGTGATTTTGTTTTTGAATGCATACATTAGCAAAAGAAGTATAGCTCTTATCAGTATTTGGTTGAATTGTGGGATGTTTACATATTTT